TGGCTTCTCAGTTCCTGTCACCACGTGGATGACTCATGCACATGGCAGTTCAGGTTCCAGATCCGTGCACTCCAGTGGCTCCTCTGGCACCTTGAGGGGAGCTTGGCGACTTATCCCGCTTGTCTCCCCCACTTCTGGTCGGGGCCCAAGGGCTCCCTTCGTTCCACCTGCGCACATCTGTGTTACAGTTGTACACAGAGGACCAGACCTGGCCTGGGAGGGGCGCCCAGTCTTCCTTCTGTCGTCTGGTTCTCCGTCCCCCACACTCCCGTACCCTCTGGTCTCCTTTATTAAAGGGGATGTGCTCCCCTTTGATGCCTACCCCCTTAGTCCTTCGGCCTGCTGGCTTCCAACCTGCTTGTGACGCCCTTGACCCTGCCTCCTCTCCCTCCCAGGATCGTCTACCCCATCCCCTCTCCTTCTCAGGCAGTCAAGCTCTGCAACAGATAACAGAGCCTAAGACCTATGCCTGGCCTTAGGAAATGCAGCCAAAGTGGAACACAATTCAATAAAAAGATGTCTTAATCCTCAGAAAGGGGAGGAGGAAGTGGCAGCAGAAAAGGCTTCGCAGAACAAGAGTCATTGGAACATGGTGGCTGCTCGGAGCATTAGATCCAGGGCGGTTGGAGCAGGGGCCAGGGAGCCACAGGGGAAGAGCCCAGGCAGTAGCTCAGGACCAGACTGTGGAGGGTGTGACCGCTGAATGTCGGGAGTTGGGGGCTGCAGTCCAAGGAATGGAGTCCCAGCCATGGCTTTTAAACGGGAAGCTCACATGATCATCTCTGGGCCTCGCGGAGATCACAGGAGTGATGGTGGGGAGTGAGGATTCCTCAGGGATCCTGCTGTGGATAGACGGCAGACACATTTGCAAAGTGGAAGAGGACCGCGTGAGGGAAGTTGGAAGGCTCAGAGTCCAGTGGTTGTCCTCAATTCACACAGTTAATGGCAGAGTCTGGACGTAAACTCATCTTAACATGAAAAGCAGGTGGCAAGTTGGCCATTAAAGATTACTTTCACACGAATTCTCACAGATTCTGTTTTATAGATGAGGGAAAGTGGAGGGCCACAGTCGCCATCTGGTAGGCAAAACAGAACAAGAAACTGCAGCACCCAAATGGGGGCCATGTGAAAACTATTTGGTAAGCATTTATTGGGCACCTACTACATGTACATGCCCTGGACTCTGTCCTCAAGGGGCTCAGTCTGGAAGGGACATAGCCACATAGCTAACTGAAACAAGCCAGACACAGAAAGGCAAGTTCAATATGATCTCACACATGGAACCTAAAAGTCACACTCACAGACCCAGAGAGTAGAATGGTGGTTACCAGGGGTGGGGGTGGGGAAAATGGGAAGATGTTGGTTGAAGAATACAAACTTAATAAGTTTTGGAGACCTAATGTACAGTTAATACTGTATCATATGCTTGAAATTTGCTAAGAGAGTAGATCCAAAGCAGTAAGTATATGAGGTGATGGATGTGTTAACAAACTTCGTGGTAAGCATTTCCCAGTGTACATGTATGTTGAATCATCACATTTTACACCTTAAAAATTATGTTGTACAACCTAAATATATACAATTTTTATTTCCATCGTATCTGAATAAAGCTGAGGGGGAAATGATAGGAAGAAAATGTGTGTTTGTTATTAGGAGTCTATCCCTAAACACAGCTGAGAGACCTTCATAGTGCAAACAGAATTGCATCTGCAGTTCTGCAGGAACTTGGAGCCTTAGATGAGTTGGCAGTTGAGAAAAAGCCCTAGAGAAAAAGGAAAAGGCTGAAAGAGGGGTCCGGCATTTTCCCAGATGGCACTTCGCATGGCACTGTGCGGCAGTGGGGGAGCCAGGCCAGACCAAGTAACCGCGTCCTGCCGCTTCCCTCAGCCGACCTGTATTTGAGTGCCTGTCGTGTTCCAGGAAACAGCTGGCTGAGTGACCTTCGGAGACAACCCTTCTGAACTTCATTTTTTCTCATCTGGAAAACTAAAAGTAATGCATACCTCCTTGGGGCTGTTTCAAAGATTAAATGAAATGGGTAAGATATAAACAGTATGTTTGAACATCAGCTCTGCGTCTGAGCACGAAGGGCTCTCAGGACCCTGAGTTTCCAGCCCTGACCCTTCACTTAGTTCCTGATAACACTGGATCAGCACCCAGCTTGTTTGGTCTTTTCGCAGAAATATCTGCCAGGCATGTGGCACTCCCACTGGCAGGGACAGAGAACACAAAAGAAAGCAGGAACAGCTTCTCCCAAGGCTGCCTTGGCATGATCTGGGCTGGCTACTTGAGCAAAGCAGAAGCCACTTAACCATCTAGTGGTCCCTCAAACTTCCGCTTCAGGGGAGTGTTTCCACCTGCCGTACCCGCCATTAGTTAAGGTCTGTTCAGACATTTCCAGACACAGGCAGAGGGGATGGGCAAGGTTTCTTTGCCATGAAGAAACCTGTGCTCTATTTCTTCCATTGAAGACACTGAATCTTTCCCAGGAGCCATCTGGGCTCCACCCAGCCCTTCTGCTTGGGAAGGACTTCCTTAAGAGTGATTTTTCCAAGTATCCTGCCTGTCTCCTACCTATGGCTCACGAGCTCATCCCGAGTCCTAGCTGGTATTGACCTGAATAAGCAGAAAAGGAATTATTTTATTAAAAGGATATTGGCAGGGCTACAGAACCATGCCTCACCAGAGGTGCAGCTTCCAGAAATGCCACCCAAGACGGTGAGGCAGAAGCAACTCGATGAGGAAGCTGCTGCCTTTTGCATGTGGCCAGGAGCCCACCTACAGTGCAAATGCTGCTTGCTGCATTGGGAACACAACCTTGCAGCCACAGCTGACTTCCAAAGCAAGTCAGATGCCCTTAGTACTACCTTCCCCTGAGAAAACCGATGCCTGGGCATGGCTTTTCCCCACATTTGTCACCTGCAACTTTGCATGTAGAGTCCTGTCCTGGTGCCCCTGGCCCGTAAACTCCACACCATAGGCTTCCAATACAAGTTTTCTGGCTTTCATCTCGGAAAGGTAGGACTCCCAGAGTGGGAGATTTTCCAAGCATTAGGACATGTCGAAAATTGGCCAAAACCATGTGAAATGGGCTCTCCTCATCTTCCTAGTCCTGTCTCCTGCTACTGATGAACCCAGACCCTGGGCCCTGTGTTAAGGCTTGGCCTGTGATTTTCTATAGGGACACAAGAGTTCAGATGGGCCCCTTGAGACAGTGAGCAACAAGGGGGTGCTGCATGGGCATGGGAGCCCAAGAGTTGGTTAGGGAAGGGGTGCCAGGGCCCTGTGGGAGGCCCCTTCCTAACTATACTCATTACATGTTACACTTGGGAAGGCCTGGGGACACAGCTAGTCAGGATACAAACCCAGATGCCTGCAAGGAGCCAGGCAATAAATGAGGGAAGCAGGCTGAGCAAAGGATGGTGGCTTTTCGAGAGAATGTTAAAAAAAAAAAAAAGGTGTGCAAGCCCTGGCTGGCGTAGCTCAGTGGATTGAGCACGGGCTGAGAACCAAAGTGTCCCAGGTTCGATTCCCAGCCAGGGTACATTCTTGGGTTGCAGGCCATAACCCCCAGCAACCACACACTGATGTTTCTCTCTCCCTCTCCCTCTCTCTTTCTCTCTCTCTCTCACTCTCCCCCTCCCTTCCCTCCCTAAAAATAAATCTTAAAAAAAAAAAAAAAAGGCGTGCAAATGTTAAGAATCAGAAAGGGGTGGCCTGGGAGGGAGTGGGGGGCAGTGGAGTTGACCAGGTAGGAGCAGCATGAGGGAACTTTCCGGGGTGAGGGAAATGTTTTGCATCTTGCTTTGGGTGGTGGTCACTGTACATTCATCAGATAAACTTCATCCAATAAATACTTTAGTTCTAAGCATTTTATCATGTAATAATTGTACCTCGATTTTTCATTTGAGCAAGTTAAAGTTTGTATAAACTGCCTGCGCTCTCAGACTACTCACTTGCAAACTTCTATTCCAATCGGACTTGAACACACGAGGAACCAGAGAGCCTGAGAGGGGAAGCGGTTTTCCCAAGGGCGCCCGAGTCCTGATGGCCCCGAGGCGGCCTGCGGCTGCTCCGCCCGAGAAGGCGGCAGCGCGGTCTGGCTGGCAGCCTCATCCTGAGCCAACTCACTTCTTTGCCGTTGGAGCGGTGCCGGCAGACAGCGGTGCGAACACAGCCTTCCCGCGGGCGGCCCCCTGGGGACACACAGACGTCTCTGCCCCGGCCTGAAAGCGGGACGGTCACCTAGAACCGCTGGGAGCAGCGGAAGTGGATGGAGCGCCGGCCTTGGAGCACGGGCCAGGAGCGCAGATAAATCACAGCCACCGACTGCGCTGGCAGTTCGGGCTCGGTGCCAAGAGCCAAACGCCGACGCAAACAGCCGAGCTCCAGGAAAGGAAATCTGATCCCCGCGAGGCCGCGGCCCAGCCAAGTGAAACCCACCTGAGGAGGCGGGGAAGGCAGGGAGAGGCCGCCGGCCGGGACGGAGCCTCCTCTGGGGCAGGCGCTGCGAGCACTTAACTTTGGTCTTCCTTGGCCGCCGCCCGGCCTAGAGAGGTACAGACACCTGTGCTTTTCAGGTGAGAAAACCAAGGCTCACCGCAGCTTCAAGGCGCTACGTAAGGGCTGAGTTAGGATTCCAAGCCCGATGTCTGACCCCAAACCCAAGCTTGCTCCTTACCCTTCCCCGCTCAGAAGCGAGCAGGGATCTGCAGGGGTGACTCCGAGCCCATTCATTATAAAGCAGACGTGGTTCCCAATTTCGATGTAAGCGCTGCACTTAAGGAACCCGGGGAAGAGATCGACGCGAGCGGCGGGCGTGGGGACGTGCAGAGGCCACATCCCGGGCCCAGCGACCCGCCCGGACCTTCCGGACTCGCGGAGCCCGGCCTTCCAGCCGGAGCCAGCACTGATTGGCGCTCGGGGCTGGCCTCCAGCCGGCTCACCTGCCCCGCCCAGCCAATCCGGGCCACCAGAATTGGGGCTGACCAGGGAAGGCGGCGGGGCGCGGGGGGGGATGCTGCTGGCGGAGGCTGAGCCGCCCTCCCCCCTGAGTTCCCGCCGGGCCGGCCCCAATCCGGAGGCCGAGCCGTAGGCTGCGCGCTCCGCGCCCCGGGCCCCCTGGGCGCCACGCTCTCGCGCGCGCGCTTTAATGCAGCAGCTCCCGAGTCGGCTGCTCCGTGTCTCCTCTGGCTGGGACGCACCCGGACGGCGCCCGGAGCGGCCTGCAGACACCGCCTCCCGCAGTCGCCTGCAGCGCGTCCGCGCTCGCCTGAACCAGAGTCCCTGCAGTCCCCGGGAGTGGGTGGGCCGGGCCGGGGCAGCCCCACTAAGGCGGGATGTTCATGTCCAAGTCCAACTCGGTGTCGCCCTCGCCGTCCTTGGAGCAGGCCGACTCGGACGCTCTGGACATCAGCACCAAAGTGCAACTCTACGGCGTGCTGTGGAAGCGGCCCTTCGGGCGGCCATCCGCCAAGTGGTCCCGGCGGTGAGTGCGCCTCCCTCGCCCCCTGTGGACCACCCCGGGAGGGAGACCAGGGCATGTGGGCTCCCACCTATCCCCTTCACTACCATCCTGCCTCTGCCTCCCTTTGTGACCTTGGCCTCCCCTCATTTCACTCTAAGATGCATCCCCTGGAATGTGTGGATCCCAGTCTGGGCTGGGTTCATCTCCGCCCGAGGGCTGGTGGAGCAGGGGTGGGACTATCAGCCTGGGGCAGGGGGGAAGGGGCGGTGGTCACTCTCTGTGGAATGGATCCAAGTCCGGGTGGGGAGGATAGGTGTGGGCTGAAGAGATCGTGGCCGTGGCAGGAGCCCAGCTGGGTCAGGTTGGACCAGACTTTGCTTTGTAAGGAGAAGCTCCATCTCCGGCCAAGATAGCCTCCTGGGATCCCCACTGCCAATTCCGTTAGGTTCACAACACCCCTCCCCCAGGCCGCGGGGTGGGCCTAGAGGTGCGGCACGGGTGTCCTGACCCCACCGATGTGCACTGTGGGATCTTCTAAACGACTCAGGCCAGGGGAGGGAGAGAGGGCCAGAAAGGGTCTGTGCCCAGCCCTGGAGGAGCTGATGTTGGCAACTCCTCCAACTAGCCCTTGCAATAATTAAAACAAACAAACAAAAACCACCACCACCACCAACAAAACACCCTGGGCAGAAAGAAAAGAGATTCCAGTGCTTCAGGCAGAGAAACTGGGACAGAGCGGAGGGACTGAGCTGAGGTGGAAATGGAGCAGAAACTGAGGGGAGTGGGGCTGGGGATGGATTGGTCCTGTCGGAAGAATTGATCCCTTGGAAGGTTTGGGGAGGGGGGGAAGGTCAGAGCAGCCATAGCTTCCTGGTCCCCAACTCAGAGGCAACGCCCTAGACATCAGCAGCTGCTTTCCACTGGCCAGTGGGCCTGAAAGGTATTGGAGGAAGGGGAGCGCCAACACCGGTTTCAGGAGCAAGGGACTGTCTCCTGGACAGTTTCCACCTTCAAGCCAACCTCAGTTCTGAGATTTGCTACTGGAATGGCCTATAGAACCCGACCCTGACCCAGCTCCCTGGAGGTGCGACCAGCCAGGAAACTGGGCGTGTGTCCAGATGCCCCTTCCCATCCCTCACCTCCAGTCTGCCCTGCAGCAGGGGGCCTCAGATGTCTCCAGGACCACAGATCACAGGGATGGAGTTCGTAGTGGTTGGTTCTAATGCTCTATTTTCATGAATAATTTCACATTTCTACAAGACCACGGAACAAACGGAGCTGTGAATGGTGTTTCACACATTATGTGGCTGGTTTTTCATACACACTTTTATTAGTCCTGCCAGGTTGCTCTTTGCGAGTTAATGAGATATAGGCTCCTGGAGTTCCTCCAAAGTTAAGCTTATCTTTGATCCCCTACAGTACAGAGGCCTGGGCAGCAGGGGGCACATCTTGTGAGGGGCTTCCAGCATTGTACCGACTGAGCTGTGGCCCCTGAGGGCCAGGAACAGCCTTGTCTCTCTGGGGCGCTCCAGTGCTTGTGCGTTCAAATACCACCAGCAGCATGCCCCGCCTTTCTCTCCCGCTGCCTCTGTTGCTCCAGGCAGCCAACGCCCCTCCACTGGGCCTGGCTGCTTGTGCTTGGTGTTGCTTCTGGGCCTGGCCATCCAAGACCTCTGCTGCCAGGCATTTTCACCTGATTGCATCCCTTGTAAATGCTAGGAACCTGTGACCAGCACCCCTCCCACCCAGAGTATGTCTCTGACCCCTCTTCACCCACACTTGTGGGGACCTGGCTCCTGTACCCAGAGTTGGGAGGTGTCAGGGACGGAGGCTCCCAGCTAAAGACATGTTAGTGAAGCCAGGGAGGGCGTGGAGAATTGTAGCACCGCCCACACCCCCAAGAATTTCCCTCAGTAGCCCCACAGCCACTCAAAAAAACATCCAGTCTAAGAATTCTAGAGCTGCCACTGTGTGAAGGCTCCCCTTGCTCTGGAGCTCAGGAACAAACCAACATCCTATCTGCCCACTCTGGCCTGTGTCCATGTTCACAGTTGTAGAAATATACGCCCCCTACACACACACACACACACTCAGCTTATTAGCCTTGGGTCAGCGACAGAGCCAGCCAGCGCCTGGGGGTGGGAGAGGCATGATGCTAAGCTCAGGCCCCTCTCACTTCCCAGCAGAGCCCTCGGGCTCCAGTTCCCCATTTGCGAAGTGGAGTCTCCTGACCTCAACTAATTAGCAGCCACAGGAAGGCTTGGGGAGTGGGCAGCTCAGGCCCCACCCGCAGAGCCGTGCCATTAGGACGATCGATGCCCTCGCCGGGCAGCTGTGGGGAGGGTCCTGGAAAGGCTCCTGTGCTGCATAAATAAGGAATGGGTAGGATGGAGCCGGCTGTGACCAGCTGGCTTTCATAAAGCCTCTTCCACTCAAGGTCCATCTCAGGGCCTCCAGCCCCTACCGCCCAAGCAGCCCTTCCCTCCCTGGGCTGGGAAGATGCCCTTGAACTAAAGGCTCAGCTTTTTTTTTTTTTCCTTTGGGGAACAAAAGGAGAAAGGGATAAAAAACATCACCTCACAGAGATAGGAGAATCAGGGAGAGCTGTTTGGAGGGTAAGGTTGATGGCTTTTCTCCCTGTAGTCTGTGAGCTGTGGAGAAACGGTTGCTGTTGGCAAAACCCTGGGCAGCTCAGAGCAGAGGGGGGAAGGGGTGGGGCGTCTCAGCCTTGGCCAGTGTCTACCCCAAGGGGGCCGCTGAGCTGGGACACAGCTGAACTCTTGCCCCAGGTTTAGAGTGCTATTTCCAGAATTCTAGTCCCTCTCCCTGAGCCCTTCTGGGCAACATTGAGGCTGGAGCCCCTGGTGAGGAGGGCCTAGCCAAGTCCCTGCTGCAGCAGGGGGGCTGCACTCCCTCTGGCGCCTCCTTCCCCGCTGGTGTGAGGTGGCCAGGGGGCCCCTGCCTCAGGGAGCTGACTCGCAGAGCCCACTAAGTGCCAGGGGAGCCGTGGAGCTGGTGGCCCCAACCCGCATGCACCCATTCTGTCCCTGGAGTGCATCTATCTCCCCTTCTGCTCCCTCACAGATTCCTAAGATACTCCTTCCTATTCCTTCTTCAAAACCCTCCTCGCAGAGAACTCCCGTGGCCAGATACTTGAACCATTCATTCCTCCCTGGTCTGCAGTCTTCCTGTGTCTCCTACAAACTTACAGTGTCCCAGGGTACCCCGGTGCTTCACATTGTCTCTGTGTACCCTGGTGCTTCACAGTGTTGTGGGGTACCCTGGTGCTTCACGTTGTCCCCATGTACCCCGGTTCTTCACAGTGTCGCAGTGAACATTTTACTCACCCCGGCTCCCCACTTACCAGCTGTGTGATCTGGGGCACATTACTTAAGCTCTCTGAGCTCGTTACCTCACCTAGCTCATGTGAGGTATGAATGAGTTAGCACACACAATGATGTTTCTAGAATAGGGCCTGGCACAAAGGAAGAGCTCCAGAAACATTAGTTACTTTTAAAACTATTGATTTCTACTAACTTTCCCTCATTTGACTATAAGCTCCTTGAGGTCAGGGAATCATCAAGCCCCGGGGCCCAGCATAGTGACTGGCCATACCCCGTGGTTCCTTAACGCTCTCGGACCTGAGCTGGCCCGTAGCGTGCAGACGCGACAGTGCCCCGGGATGGGGAGGACCAGGCATCCCAGAGCACTGCAGTGGAGAACGTGGGCTTTGTCAGCAACGTGGAGTTCCAAGTTTGCCGCTTATTAGTTGCTTAATCTCTGTCTCTCAGTTTCCTTACCAGTAGAATAGAAAAACAGATATCTCCACCTTCAGAGTTACTGTGAGAGATGTACATAAGGTAATGTCACTGAAACACTCAGCAAAGCGTGTGTCTTGGCACCTTGTAAGTGCTCCTTCATCTAGAGGTGAAAACACTATTGTGTATGACTGGAGAGAGGAGGCAGCGAAGATTGACATGACCCCTTACCTCGCACATGGGCAAGGAGGGTCCTGAGGGCTGGGCTGAGGACCAGGCTTTGCAGGAGTAGAGCTGGGCCTGGATGGAAGGCGGGGCTCCAGACAAGAGGGAGGGAAAGTGCTGTGTGCTTAGGGGACAGGGAGACGGCCAGTCGGGCAGTGGCCAGCAGCTCCCACTGGTAGGAACCATGGGAGCACAAATGAGAAAGGTCAGGGGAGGCTGCAGCAGATACTGAACCCAATAATAATGGTACTAATAAAATTAAGCATTTATTGAATTATTTTTCCTGTGTCACACAGTGTTCTAAATCTTTATGTGAACAAACTAATTTAATGATCTGAACAACCCTAAGAGATATAGGTATTTTTATTACCCTCAAGTTACACTGAGGGGCCCGAGGCTTGGAGAGATCAGGTGACTTGCCCTGGTCACACTGCTGGTGAGTGGCAGAGCTCTGACCCTCAGTGACCTCAGTCTTGATACCTACAGCCTCTGGCCCCTCTGCTCCCTGCCCAGGTGCTAGCACGAGGGAGGAAGCAGCTCCTTAGGCAGTGTGATGGGGGAAGTAGGAGCCGGGACTGTTGTCCGTGGGTTACAATCCCAGCTCCACCTCTGCCCTAGCTGTGTGACCTGGTACAATTTACTTCACTTCTAAACCTCAGTTTTCTCATCTGCAAAATGGGATCAAAGAGCCCCACCTTGCGAGAGAGTTACATAGATCAAATATTCTGCTACTTATAGAGCACTTAGCACGGCAGCTTGCCTATGAGACCACCCAACCCTTGTGTAGCCAGCCCAACTCCAGGGCCCGGAAAGGAGGAGGTGGTTATTTGCTGAATCTATGAATGAATGCTCACAGCAGCCCCAAGAGACAGATACTCACACCCCCATTTTATAGAGGAACTTGGAAAGGAAGGCTCAGCCAGGCCGGGAGCTTGGCTGAGGCTGTGGCTGGAGGGACGGAGGTCATTGGGCTCCACAGCCACTCTTCTCTCCCTGCCCGGTGCCTAGTGGTCATCTGCCTGCCACAGCCCACCCCCAAGTCCCTGGCACAGTGCTTTGCCCTGGGAGGGGAAGAGGCTCCAGAAGTGTCAGGAAAGCAAGAAGGTATTTGTCTTAGTCAGCGCAGCCTCCCATAACAAAACACCGTAGATGGTAACCATCTGGTAAACCGTTCAGTCAAACAACAGAAGTTCATTTGCTCACTGTTCTGGAGGCCGGAAGTCCCAGGTCAGGGTGCCAGCGTGGTCGGGGGCTGGAAAGGATCCGCTTCCTGGCTCACAGGTGCCCCCTTCTCACTGTCCTCCTGTGGCAGGGGGAGAGGGGCGCCCCCTTTTTGCATGAGGCCATGGTGCCCTCAGATGGCGGCCCACTGTTGGACCTCGCCGACCCTCATCACGGTAGGGCCCGGAGTAGAGTCGTTCCGTTCAACGTCACTTCATTACAATGTTGATGAGAGGCCATAGGAACTTAACTCATCTACCTAAATTAGCCTGTGGTAAAACTAATTTCATTATAAGTCATTTTGCTTGAAGTCACAGAACCTATTGACGGCAGTGAGGGAGGACTTACTGTGCCTCTTAAAGACCCCATCTCCGGAGACAGTCAGGTTGGGAGTCAGGGCTCCACATATGAGTTGTGTGCAGGGGGAATAGTTCAGTCCATAATGGAACGTCGGAAACCATTCGAGGGGAAGAGCAGGGCCCCAGGGCCACCTGAGCTGCCCGGCTCACACTTTCCTGTGGGTGGCGTGTGTTCAGACCCCGGGGGTGCACTGCTCCAGCTGGGCTGGCAGAGCGAAAAGCACACTCTCCTCTGATCCTCAGGACGATCAGCTGAGGTGGGTGTTATCGCCCCTGTTCTGCAGGCAAATGAACTGAAGCTCAGAGTGAGCTCACTTGCCCAGGGCCCCCCAGGTGGGAGATGGCAGGTCTCTGTGATGCAAAGCCTGTGTTCTTAATGACTCTGTGAAGGTCCCTTGAAACAGGCAGGGATGTTTCCCTCAGCTCACAGGATGGAGGGGATGTAGCCTGTCCTCCAGGACCCCAATGTCATCCTGGGACAGGGTGGGCACACGGGGTGTGGCCGTGGCTCTAAGTCCCAGTGCCCACCCCAGTCAGCAGGTGCAGAAGGGGCTCATACAGCAGCGTGGGCTGCTCTGGCCGCCAGGGGTGAGAAGGGTTCTGCCAGGTGAGGGGCAAGACGGGGGGTGTTCCAGGGAGCGTTGCCTAGTCTCCGCAGGATCCTGCAGGATGTGGCGAGGGGTGAAGCAGTGAGCTCAGCGTTCACCTGAGCAGAGAAGCCGAAGGGCAGAAGTGGGGGGAAAGCTGAGAAGGTGGGCAGGGGTCAGGTGCCGGAGGGCCCAGAACGCCCTCACCATCCTGCCAAGGGTGGTGGCCATGCGCTCTTTCCCCACCGGGGGCAGAAAGGCCTGGGGAGAGTTGGTTTTAGCAGGATGTCACCTGCGAGGTCCACAGCTCCACTCGGTGTCTGGCTGGGCAGAGAGGGTCAGTGCAAATGGAGAAGAATGTGGGTGGGCGTGAGACACACACCGAAAGACAAAGTGTGCTTCGCTCTCCTGGGGGAGGGGAGATGGCAGCTGTCAGCAGTCCCAGGGACCCTCCGTGCAGCAGCTGTGGCCTCAGGAAAGTTCAGGGGCTGGGGGAACCCTCAGAGATTGGCTGACTTAGTGATGCCCACCAGCAACTTTTCAAGCTCTCCCCTCCAAGGGGTGTGCTGGTCAGTGGTTAACGGTGGGGTCTCAGGGTGGCATGGTGGGGGGAACAGTGTTTTGTGGCATCTGATGATGCTTATGGTTGTAAACACTCCCACTGTGACCGATAGCAAGCTACCAACACAATGTCACCGAACTCGGAGGAGAGGAGACTCACCCCAATGGCTATTGTGAGCCCCTCTGAGCCGGCTCCAGCTCCCCACGGCTCCCAGCATTCCCAGGTCCGTCACTACAACAGCGGCAGCAGCAGGGGTCCCGGGAGGAAGGAGCACCCAGGCTCAAGGGAGTCATCTTGTCCTCGTCAGTGCGGACCCTGAGTCCTGAGTTGGCCCCTAGGGGTTCCCAGTGCTCCACGTGTGGGCATCAAGGCTGTCGCCTCCCCAACTGTCAGAAAGCACTGGGGTCCCGGAAGTCCTAAGTCTGACCGAGTCCTTGGAGGAGGCTGCGGAGCAGGCCGAGAGCAAAGGGAGATGACACGCAGGCCGCACGCCTGGCCCCACGAGCCTGGTTCCCACGTTTCGCTTGATCGACAGCCCTCCCGATCACTTGTCAGAAGACTCATCAGGGAATCTTGAGTCTTCTTTCCCTCCTGCTCCTTCCGCCCCTCCTGGGGGAGACCCTAAGGGACTGGAGACAATGGCTCAAGGGGCTGAGGGTACCCAGGAGGATGTAGCACAGATGTCCCCCGGTGCCAAGGGTGGCGGCTGGACAGGGATGGAGGGGCCACCCTGGGGGCTGCTGTTTGCCCGGAGGTGGAATGTGGGTGGGTGAGGGTGAGTCTTGGTGTCCCATGGGCTCCCCATGTGAGTTCAGGGCCCCGAGGAGCCTCACCCTTCTCTCCTTGTTGTCCCTCTTTGTCCACCTCCTGCTGTAGGTTTTTCATCATCAAAGAGAGCTTTCTTCTTTACTACTCTGAAAGTGAAAAAAAGAGCTTTGAAACCAATAAATACTTCAATATACATCCTAAGGTGAGGGGGCCTCTCCCCAGGGCCACAGTGGGGGAGGGTACTCTGTTAGGGTAGGAGGCTGTCTCTTCTCCCGATCTAACAGAGTCTGGGCACAAACCCTTCCTAGGGCACACAGTCCCCCGCCCCCTCTGGGCTGGGCCCCCAGCCTCCTGTGCCCTGGAGCCACCGGGCCCTGCCTCTCCCTCCTGGGAGAGCTCTGGTGCGGCTCCCAGCCTGGGGCCCGCAGCGCCGCTGGGCTTTGGCTGAGGGCTCCCACAGGCCTTGAGTGACCTGGGCTGGGTGGAGTGAGAGCTGCCTGTTCTGGTTCTTTCTCAGGGTGTCATCCCTCTGGGTGGCTGCCTGGTGGAGGCCAGGGAAGAGCCCAGCATGCCCTACGCCATGAGAATATCCCACCAGGACTTTCATGTGAGTAAAGCTGTCATCTCAGCCTGGGCTCCACAGGGGCAGAGCAGCTTCTCTGGGCCCCCCGGGCCCCTGGGGAAACCCCTCCAGTGGCGGGGGTGGGGGGTGTCTCAGTGCCATAAGGATGTGAGCGGAGGAGAGCAGAGCTGGGCTTGCGGAGGCCCGGGGTGGCCTCCATGTCCTCTGAACGGCCTTCTCTCAGGTGCACCGTGGCCCCTCTTCCTGGCAGGGGAACATATTGCTGGCGGCAGAGTCCGAGTTTGAGCAGACGCAGTGGCTGGAGATGCTGCAGGAGTCGGGGAAGGTGTAAGTGCTCCCAGTTGGGGTGGGGGCAGCCTGAAGTGGTGGGGGAGGGGTGCGGGCTGGGCTGACCCTGATCTCCCTGTCTCTCCGCTGGGATCCCGGGGGCACTGAGGGTGCAGCGAGAGGGCAGGGTGGGAGGAGAATGTCTGGGCCTCCTTGAGGACAGAATCGTGGGAGTCAGTTAGGGTGGGTGAGAGGGGATGCAGGCCAGGCTTAGAGCGTCTGGGAGAGGTCTCCTGTGTGAGCTTGATCAGGCACAGCGAGCTTTGCTTGTCTAGAGTCACAGGGGGCAGGCATGGACACCACTTGTCTCCAGCCCTCAGAGTGAATCCAGCATCACTAGTAGGATTGGGCCACCTCCCCAGCCCCATCCCATCTCCCCAGGCCTGCTGTTAACCCTGGCACAGGCAGAGCTTTGTAAGTCAGGGCCCTATCACAGAAACCTCCAGCCCAGCACAGTTCATTTGCCCGTAAACCCTTGTCCTGGCACCTGCCTACTCATGATGGGTCGTGCTTTTAGTTCAACAAATAACCCTGAGTGCACGCTCCGTGCCAGGCCGTGTGCCGCATGGGAGGCATTATTCAGTGCTGTAGAGAGCAGCCAGGAAGCAGTCTCCTCTTTGCTCCAAAAGCGCTGTCGGCCCAGCCCACAGTGGCCCACTTTGCAGCCTGGGCCAGCCTCCAGGGCCGTAACTGATCAAGGCTGGTGGCATGCCCAGAGCCGGGGTGCCAGGGTGAATGTGAGCTGGGATTCTGGAGAGAAGGGGTGGGCACGCACAAAACACTCACATTCTCTTTCTCCCGTACCCTTCTGTTTTCACGATTTTGTATTTCTTCCTCTCCTGTCCCATCTGCCCTCCCTCCCCAGGACCTGGAAGAACGCCCAGCTGGGAGAAGCCATGATCAAAAGCCTGGAGGCCCAGGGGCTGCAGTTGGCCAAGGAGAAGCAGGAGTATTTAGGTTGGCTGGAGGGCTGGGCTAGGAGCTGAGACTCCCTGATGGTAGCACTTCGGGGCCAGGGGCTTGCTGGAGGACTGAGGTCGGTGTTGTGGGCGGGACTTAGCGGCCATGGGGAGCCAGACACCAGCTTGGAGCCTGGAGGGCTTTATGATAAGCATCTTGTTGGCCATCTGACAAGGGGCAGGAGAGCCTGCTGGTTAGGAACCTGGGCTCTGGACCCAGCTTTGTCACTTATCTGTCAGCTGTGCATGTCTTTAGGCAGCACAACCTCTCTAAGCCTCAATTTCCTCATACTTAAACTGGGGACAAAAACAGCCCCAAGCTGTTGGAGGTGGTGTGGGGATGGAGTTGGTTACATGAGAAAACGCCCGTGAGCCCTTGCGTCAAGCAGGCAATAAGGGCTCTGAAAGTGGAGTCAATGTTGTTCGCCTGCCCTGGGCCCCCAGGTCCTGGCTTGCCTCTGGCTGTCACACCACAGCCCACTTCAAACCTGTGCATGAGATGAGGTTCCAGGCCCTGGTGCCCCTCGCCTGCTGGTTAGCATGCTGCTTGGGAAAGAAGCTGAGTCTGGAGTTTGGTCCTTCGCCTGGGATCTTCTTCCTTGCACCTCCTTAGATACCTAGGGCCTGGACACGGGCTCCCCTCTGCCTGCTCCAGGCACCCTCTCCGCCCAGGACTGGCCCTCCCCCACCAGCCAGACACTCGTGCAGCCCCTGGGGCTGCAGAGACTCACTTGAGCTTCGGAGGATAAGACCATCCTTGACTTGTGCGTGCACAAAGCAGGGACAGTGACAGGAAAGAAGGGTAGCAGCTCCCATCTCCAGGAGCTGGCCGTACCCTTTGGCTGGCCTGGTGCGGCTGTGCTGACCTCTTCCTTAGGAGAAGCTGAGGGTGGCAGAGGTGACAGAGGTGACCGAGGCACCAACCCCTCAGGACCCGATCTGGAGTGAGCTTTTCATGGAGTGTGTGTGTGTGCTTGCTTTGGCAGACAAACTGATGGAGGAGACTGAAGAACTCTGCCTGCAGAGGGAGCAGAGAGAGGTAGGCGCCCATGGAGGCTGCTCAGAATCGCCGCCCTTCCCCCACCCCCCACTCTGGGGGCCCTGGACAGCCTAGGTGTACGATTCAGTTTCTGGCATGAGAGAAGGATGTGGGGGAGCAGTGCACCCAGAGAACCATCTGGAAAGTCAGACTGGTGGAGCAGGAGGGCCAGTGAGATGACAGTGCTCAAGATTTGCAGTAGCTTCTTGGCAAGATGTGTGTTTCCTCTGGCCAGCCCCGGGGAGCAAAGTATAAAGGGCAGGTGGCCACCTTCTAAGAGAATGAGCCATCCCAGAATTTCATTAGCTGTGTGGGTAAGCAAGGAGCTGCTTGCTGCTGATGACACTCACAGGAGGCTGGGACGGCCTGTATGATTTATAGAGGGGTTTCTGGCACCTGAAGGGGGAGGGAGTTGGTTATCTTCCGGGTCCCTTCATTCTCTAAATGTCGATAGTACAAGTCCCAAGGGGGCCAAGCATGGGCCTGAGGCAGCCTGTGCCTCATACGGGGGTGGGGAGCCACTGAAGTCCACTTCCTTTGGAGTGTCCACCCAGCGCTGGGCCTTGCCTGCTCTGAATCATTACATCCCCCGGAAGGCAGGTGAGGGTGGTGGTTTGCAGTACGGCCCTGGAGCCACCCTGTGGCCGTGTGGCCCCTCTGAACATCAACATTGTCACATGAACAATGGGGATAATAACTGAACCCGTCTCACTAGGGGTGTTGTGGGGATTAGTGAGATGTTAAATATAAAACGCTTGGCACAGAACATGAGCTTAGTGGGTATCTGTGTTTGTTAGTATCACAGTCATGTCGTAATTAATTATGCGCCCATCCTGCACGTGCCCTGCCCGAGGCCCAAAGCTGCAGAGCCCGAAGCAGGCTTGCCCAGAGAGGCCCGCAGAGGGAGGCCGCTGCCCTTTGCCCGGTGGCTCTTCCCTGTCCTCTCACGGGCAAGGCACAGGGCTGGGGCGGCAGCCTGGCCTCATGTCTGCCTCTCGATGGGACTCTTGCTCACTGCATACCCTCCCCAGCCACCCCTTACTGGGCTCGGAAGTAGGTCCTCAGGTCCCGTCCCCGTAGCACCCCAGAGAGCCGCAGGGCCTGGCACAGCCACTGGCCCAGGTCGGGCACTTCATACATGTTTGTGGAATGACTCTATGAATGAACTATTTTTTTAGTTTAAATATCTTTTTATTTTTTAATGGTAGTTGGCGGACAGTATTATATTAGTTTCAGGTATACAATGCAGTGATTAGACATTTCATAACTTACTAAGTGATCATCCCAATAAATCTTGTGCCCATCCGACACCGTGCGTACTTAGTACGGCGTTACTAACTACATTCCCTATGCTGTGCTTTACGTACCCGTGAGTGTCTGTAACGACCAGTCTGCACTTCTTAATCCCTCCACCTTTTGCACCCACCCCCCGACACCCTCCCCTGCCAAATCTGACAGCCGTTAGAATGTTCTCTGTATCTGTGAGTCTGTTTCTGTCCTGCTTGCTCATTTATTTTGTTGTTTAGATCCCACGTATAAGTGAAATCATCTGGCACGTGTCTTCCTCTGTCTGACTCATTTCACTCAGCACAGCCCCTGTAGGTCCACCCAGGTTGTTGCTGGTGGCGAGACTTCATTCTTTTTCCTGGCTGAGTCGTATTCCGTCATGCGCGAGCACCACTTCTCTACCCGTTCATCTGTTCATGGACACTTGGGTCGCCTCCGTGTCTTGGCTACTGTAAAGAAGATTACAGCGAACATATGGATGTCTTTGTGATGTAGTGTTCTGGGTTTCTTTGGATAAATACCCAGAAATGGAATTGCTAGGTCATCTTTTGTCTCTTTGTTTTAAAGTCTATTTTTGTCTGCTGTAAGTATTGCTGCCCCCACTTTTTGTTTGTTTGTTTCCATTTGCATGACGTATCTGCGTCTGTCCCTTCACTTTCAGCCTGTGTGTGCCTTTCACTCTGAAGCGAGTCTCCTGTAGACAGCGGCTGTAAGGGTTGTGTTTTGTTATCCATTCAGCCTCCATATGTCTTTTCACTGGGACATTTCATCCATTTGCACTTGAAGTAATTGTTGATAGATGTGTATTTATTCCCATTTTTATTGTCCATATTTTTAATCTTTTTTTTCTTCTTAAATAAGACCCTTTAACAATGCATGGACATTTTAAAAAAAGATTTTATTTATTTTTAGAAAGAGGAGAAGGGAGGGAGAAAGAGGAGAGAAACATCAATATGTAAGAGATACATTGATTGGTTGCCTCTCGCACTCCCCAACTGGGGGGCCCACAACCCAGGCATGTGCCCCAACCGGGAATCGAACCAGCAACCTTTCAGTTTGTGGGCTGGCACTCAGTCCACCGAGCCACACCAGGCAGGGCGGAATGCACATTTTTGATTCTTGTAATTTTACATTACATCTTGACTTTAATCCAGTAGGACAATTCACCCTCATTTTTCTTCTTCCAAAACTTTATCAGATATTCTTGCTCATTTATTCTCCCAGCTGGACTTCAGAATCATTTTTTCAGTAAACAACAATAAAAAAATGCAAGCCCACACAAACAGAACTCCCAAGCCAAACCCATCGAGCATTCGTGTTAGGACCGTGTGGGTCTGAGGACCGGTGTGGTGACGGCAGCTTCGGGCCCCTGCGTCTCCAGGTTCTCGTTCTAGGTCCTGCATTAGCGTTCTGGCCAGTTTCCCACCAGTTCCGCACACTTTGAGAAGTGAGACTTCTGGTGCATTATCAGTGCCTTAAAGACAGGTAACTCAGGAAGCCAGGGGATGGGATGGAGTGACAGACAGAGCCACTGGCAGGAAGACAGACAGGCTTATCCATCAGAGAGGCTGAATCTGGGGCAGCAGCCCGCCGGAGGAAAATTTAGACACTCTATCTAGGTCTTTAGCCGGGAAACGAGGACAGTGGAGACCCACCGCACACAGGCCTCGCTGAAAGCCGTAGCACTCTGAAGGACGGGTGCCCGTCAGCTGTGAGCTCCCTCTGTTGTGGGGTGTTGGTACAAAATGCGAGTGAGACTCACTGGGGCCCAGCTGGTGGCCGCGGTGAAGGCTGCTCTGGGCTGGCGGGAGGGAGGGGACCGTGCCCGGGCTCTCGGTCCCGTGCCAGCTGCTCCAGACCTCACTGTCTCATTCCGTCCAGGTTTTTCCTTCCTCAACTTAATCATCCGTATAAGGGGTCTGCCTGTCCCCTGCACTTTAACCCTCTCTGCTCCAGGTTGTGGAGATTGTCTGGGTGTGCCTTGTGCCACTTAAAAGGGCATTTGGGACAAGGGCCCAGTGATGAGATGGAGATTCTCTGGCCTCCAGAGGCTGCTCAGGGCAGACTCAGGGTCTGGGGTCAGGAGCCCCAGGGTGGAGTCTCAACTCTACCGCTGCCTGTGCGGCCTTGGACAAGTCGGCCTCCCTGACCTTCAGGTTCTCCACCTGTGCTCCTCCGATGAGAGTAGTGGCTGTGCCCACCTAGGTCCCGGTTGCTGTGAGGCGTTATGAAATTGAAAGCAGGGGAGTGCTCGGTGGGTTGGCGAGTTCCACGCAGATGTGCGCTGTGTGATGGTGCAGCCCTGACAGCCCCCGTGGGCAGACGGGGCCGGGACTCTGGGGCACGGGGCCAGAAGACCATGGCCTCTTTCGTCCCAGGTCCCTCTGGTGTCCCTGGCTCCCTGTGGCCTCATTTCTCTTACTCCCTGGAGGAGGGCAGCCTGCCATTACTTTCTTTTCTGGCCAAACTGTGAGGGCATGGCCTTGTGCATGGGCAGCCACATGGGAAATCAGAAATGCCCGGGGCCAGTCAGGCGGGGTTCTTGCCACCCAGGGTGTTCCAGTCGGAACACAGACTCTTGGAGTCGGACAGTACCTCGCACTTCAAAGTGAGGCTCTTTGCTGACCTTCCTGGTGGATGCTGATCCTGATTCTGTGATGTACAACTCCCTCCCTCCGGAGGTTGCCTTTGCATTATTGCTTCATTATGTGAAAGTTCTCCCTTTCACTGAGCTGGAATTTGTTGTCTAGTGTCTCCTTTCCAACCTTGTACCCCTGCAACTTAAGTCAAGCCCAGTAGTCAGGAGAACAACACTGTGTGGGAAGGAAGACTTTAGCCGAAGAGATCTTGGTTGGCCTCAGCCTGTGGCCGGGTCGCTACAAACACTCATACCATCCTGGGCTGCAGGAACAGGAGGTTCTGGCTGCTCCATGTGTATAGGCTGAAGGTTTCACTCTAATCAGCATTCTCAGCTGCACTTGGACATCAGCTTCATTTAAGAGCCATACAGGGGAGTGAAAGGTGCAAAAGAAGCGAGCAGCCGGGAAGGAGATTGTCTTTCTTTTTTCCTCTTTAATACGTAACCTTTTCCTCATGGTAGAAATTGTGATCTTTGTATAAAACTTGGAAAGCAAACTTATCCTTAATCACACAGTGGACAGCTATTGTCAACTTCTGTGTTTAATTTCAGTGTTTTTAAAAATGCATTATTCTGCCCTGGCTGGTGTGGCTCAGTGGCTTGGGTGCCGGCCTGTGAACTGAAAGGTCATTGGTTTGATTCCCAGTCAGGGCACACACCTGGGTTGCGGGCCAGGGCCCCAGCTGGGGGCATGTGAAAGGCAACTTGTGTATCAGTCCTGGTCTACTTTTCTAAATATTTCTGTAGGGTAGAGTCCTGTAGGTGAATGACCGACTCAAAGGGCAAGAAGCTTCAAGACTCCCGATGCCTATTGTCAACTTGCTTTTCAGAAAATTTGTACCTAATTTACACCCTTACCAGGAGTGTATGGACATGTCCATGGTGTTTTAATCATTTACTTTCTCCCACTTTCAATTACAAAAAGATACCCCAGTGTCATGGTAAGTACAGGGAAATATTTGTCAGTCAGAGTTCTGGAGAAGGGGGCTCTCCAGGGAGGAGACGCCGAGGGCATGGGGTGGCATCCTCCCTCTGGGTCCTGGGTGATCTGTCCTGAAGCAGCAGAAGCCAGGTGCCCGTGAGAGCCAGCTGCCTGTGTGATTTTTCACGTCTAAGCTCAGGGATGCTTATAGCCTGTCACTTCTCCAGCCCCATGAACAGCCCTGCCGAGCATGCAAAGGCCATCAGAGAGAGGAAATAAGTCAGTGTTTTGAATTGAAGGCCACAGGGAAGTTATCATCACTAGCAACACCAAGTGTCAGCTATGGAGAATGTATTCAAATTGAGGTTTTCAGACTTTTTGAAACTCAACTTTTCTATCATTAAAAGGGGGAGGGTAGACAAGAATAACATTTTAATTACGTTTCTATTCTGTCTATACATGGCTGTGTCTACTGCAGCAATGCATAACTCCAACATGTTAGTGGCTTTGAATGGCCAACGTCCCTTTCTCACTCGGCGACGTGGGTCAGCTGGGGGCTCAGCTCCACCTCACCTCTCAGGGATTCAGGCCGGTGAAACCCCTGTTACTTGCAGCAGGAGCCTTGGCAGGGGAAAGGGAGCACAACCCTGCCTCCTAGTGGCATCTGCCTGGAAGTGACACACTTCTGCTCACGTTCCATTGGACTTAGCGAGTCCCAAGGGCCCGCCCAGCTTTGGCAGGTGACTGCGGCCCTGCACTGTGGCGGGAGGGGCATCAGAATGCCAGTGAGCGGCCCGCAGGGTGACCACTAGTGAGCCACGCCAAGAGTTCCAATAATGATCTGAAGAGAAAGGAAGAGCAACTTGAGAACAAAACAGAAAGAGCAACTTTAGGGGGTAAGAAGTTCGGGAAAGGAGGGCATGCGGTTTGGAATCGATCTCTTTCCTTTTTATATATTTTATCACCTTGAAGCCAATGGCGACTCCTCCCTCCAGGCAGCCCCGCCTTTGGTGGGGTTTCCCTGAACCGTGAGAGCACAGCCCCCGGGTGAAAAGTGGGAATATGATCTGGAACTGGCAGATGAGGAGGAAAGAGGTTCTAGAAGTATCCTTCCGCTGGGTGAAATGTGGAGGAGCAAAGAGGTCATCACAAAAGTGCTCCCAGCCGAGCTTCCCTTGCAGTGTATCCCCCAACTCCACCCCCCGCCGCCCCTCCCTCGTTGAAGCCCAGGACAGCAGGACCCCTGCAGGGCCCGGGCGAAGGGAAACCACCTGTTTGCCGTGGGCGGTGTGGCCGCCCTGGCCAGCCTGCTCTGTGCTCGCTTTCTGGCTGTCCGGTTGCCTGGGGGCTGAGTATAGGGGAAGCGGCCCCGCCTGGCTCTCACAGCTTCGCAGATGCCTTGAGAAAAAAAGAATTCTTATGCTCTGACTTTGGGGTTGAAAATGGCTTTTTTTTTTTTTTTTTTGCCACTTCTAGTAAATGTCACTCCAGGGATCTTTAATGGAAAGCACTTACCACTTTATCCTCCAGGGCTTGAGGGTCAGCCAACGTGCTTTAGGATGGGAGTGGCGTCCAGAATAATATATCGGAGGAAGTGATGTTGGAATCCTAAGCCCTGCCTTCAGCTCGATAAGTGTGTTTTAAGTGAGCCCAGGTCACCACAGATTTCGGTTTGGTGGACACTGTGTGTCATTGAGGGGGCCAGGTCTTCACAGGACTCAGTTTCAAGTTTGGTCCAGCGTGAGCCCAGACCCTGCTGAATCCCAGAGGGCCCCTGGGTTACAGCGGAGGTTCCCTTCGCGGTCCGTGACTCTCCTCTCTCTCTGTTCTCTTCAGGAACTTGAGCGCCTTAACCAGGTGCTGGAGGCTGAGAAGCAGCAGTTTGAGGAGGTGGTGCAGGAGCTGAGAGTGGAGCAGGAGCAGATCAAGAGGTGGTGGTGGTGCCCTGGAGGGGAGCGGGAGGAGGGTGCAGCTGGGCGAGGGCACCTACAAACCACACTCCTGGTCAGCCATGGGGTGGCCCCCGCCCAGGGGACTGTCACTACCTGATGACTTGGCTTGGTCTTATCTTCCCAATGCGCCAGGCCTTGGGGTGTGCCCAGAAAAAGCTGTAGACCCCACACAGATGAGCCACCTCTGCCCGCTGGGGCATGGGGCATGGGGCATGGGCAGGTGCAGACAGGTGTGCCTTAAGCAACACACCCTCCTGCCTCCACCCACCCCCCTCACCCAGGGCAGATAGGACCACGCTGGTCTGGAGGCACCATTAGCCAAGGTCCCCACCACCCCCTGTCTTTCTTGCACAATCCCTTCACGTTCTGGCCAGTGATGCCCCTTGGGCTCTTTGGTCCTGTGTGTGGTTTGCAAACCAGTTGCGTATTATAATTAAACAGAATTAGAATCTCCTAAAGATAGAGCCCAGAAAGCTATATTTTTAAAAAGCTCCCTAGGTCGTGCTGATGCAGCTTATCCAGGAATTAGGAGGCTCTTGCTCTGGGTGCTGTTGCTGGTGGTGGTGGTGTGGTTATCGAAGGTCAGCATAATCATCACTATTGGTCATCACTGATAGCCCAGAAAGATTTTTCTGCAACAGCCTTATAAAGGAAGGCGTTAGATATATAAATGGGGGAGGGAGAAGCTCAGGAAATCTTACTAAGTAAATAGCCCAAACACCCGCTCATGCCCAGGATTATGCCAGACCCCGAATAGAAGACAAGTCCTCTTCCTGAGGATTTGGCTGGGGAAACCAGACTCACGCCCAGGAAACCTCAACACAGTAACATGTGACCGAGTGCTAGGAGGCGTGGGGCAAACTCCCTGTGCTGTAGGAATTAAAATATATGCACAATCCTTACGGGCCTGAACAGAGATTGGACTGAGCTGGGCCTTGGAGATGGATTTGGAAAATTGAGCCAGAGAAGGGAAAGGCATTCCAAGCAGGAGGGGAAACCAGGTGCAGCAGCCTGAGGTGGCCCAGGCTTGTTAAGGAAGCAACAGGGAAAAAAGAAAAACAAACAAAAAAACAGCAAGGAGTTTGTCATCCCAGAGAAAGGTCTCAACTGTGTCCCATGTCAGAGTGAGTGTGGGTTCCAGCAGGGACTGTCCAGGGAAGACGAGTGAGACCAGACCCCTGTGGTCCCCCGGCGCTTCTCTGCCTGTAGGGTGGCTCTGGGTTTCTCCCCACTGACAAGTGCATGCGTACCTGGAGCAAGTGACTGCAGAGCCCCACTTAGCTGGGACCTCCTTTCCACCCTGGGCCCCTACCCAGCCATTCAGAGGGGCTGGCCTTCCAGGGGCCCCACCGAGCCTTATTAAGAGGCGAAACAAGCTATCCTGGCACAAAGGGGACTGGGAAGGGTGGGCACTGCCTTACTCATACCCTCTGTCCCCGCAGGGAGCTAGAACTGACTGCAAGATGCCTCAAGGGGGTGGAGCAAGAGAAGAAGGAGCTGAGGCACCTCACAGAGTCCTTGCAGCAGACGCTGGAGGTAAGGGCCCATCAGTGGGCCAGCTGACCAGGAGGCGGGCTGGTTGGTTGGGCCATGTGATGCCGTTTTTTCCCAACAGTATTTCTCCAATTACTGAGCCATCTGCAAAGCTAAACAGGGCACAAAGAGGTGCTGATCTGAGGGTCTTCTCTCTGTGGACCATTGGGAACTCCAGCCGACTTATGAGGCCCATAGCGGGACCCAGAAGGGCAAATTCAAGTTTGCCCTGGCTATGACCGCAGCCTCAGGAAATCCAGCTTCTTCAGTGCTTATATTTTTATACCAGATGGAGGATTGATTAGGATGGGTAGCAGGGCCTCTCACCACTTCCTTCTTGTGGCTCATTCACTTAGCTGCTCCAGGGTGAAATTGAGCTCAAAGGGAAATCAACTCTTGGGTCACCTCCATTTGATACCACAGAAACTGTGAAGGGATAATGTGGCATGTGTCAAGGACAAAGTGCCAATTCTGCAGCATGACACGCAAGGGCAAACTCTGGTGCCAGCCTCTCCTCCCCTATTGCCCTCTGCTGCCCCTCCACGCTCTGAACAAAGACACCCTACCCCCTACTCTAAACCACTGAGCTCACATGCCCTTAGGAAACCAAGCTCTCTCATCCTCCACACCTTTGCTTGTACTGTCCCTTCTACCCAGAATGCCTTCCACCTCTTTTCTGCCTGGAGAACTCTGTCATCCTTCTAAGGCTTAGCTTAGACATTACTGGGGTCAAGCTTCCCTGGCTTTTCACAGCAGAAATTTGCTCTGAACCCTGGGCTCCCACGGCACATTGTGCATCTGTTATGGCACTTAACACACCCTTAGGCTGTGTTTTCCAAACTGTGAACTTCACTAGACTGCGTCTTCAGGTCGTTCCAAGCCCAGCACTTAAAGTGAGCTTGGCGTGCCCTGGAGAACGCAGTGTTTACTGCGTTCGTGAACTGCCTGGCAGAGCGCAAGGGATTCTCTTCTCCCTTCACTGACTGGGGCTTTGTTTGGGGTGCCTTTACTTGTTTATCTTTTTCCAGTTCACATCGTGGGAGGGGTTCCCATGGATATTTCAGCTCCAGAATTCCTGGGTAGTGCAAGATCCCAGTCTGATAAGTGGGGACGATGCAAATCGTCTCCAGTCGGGTCCTGTTGGGGTTTATTGCATGACCCCAACACACTTGTCCCTGGAGGGACAAGAACCCCAGAAGGTCATAGTGCCCTTGTGTCTTGGGCCCTGGCTGTGGTAGGTGCCACCTCCGTGGGAAGCCTCACTGGGCTCCTCTCTGACTCCCTCGATGGAGGGGTGAACTTGCCTTGTTGTGAGGAAGATCTTGGTTGGCCTTTCAACTCAAGGGAAGAGCGAAGATATTGCAGGTGGGCCTCACAGAGGACTGAGAGTGGAGGGCCTCACTCCCTGGAGTTGGAACGCAGCTGAGGGTAGCCACTGTTCAGAACCTAAATTGGGCTCTTTCTCTCCCTTCTCTCTCTTCTCTCCCTCCCTCCATGCCAGGAGCTCTCGATAGAGAAGAAGAAAACCCTGGAAATGCTGGAGGAGAATGAGAACCAACTGCAGACACTGGCCAGTCAGAGCGAGCAGCCTCCTCCCGATGAGGGTCTCCACAGCAACCTAAGGCAGATCGAGGAGAAGATGCAGCAGCTGTTGGAGGAGAAGCTCCTGGCAGAGAAGCGGTGAGGAGCCCGGGACCCTCCAGTTCATGATTGACTTTGGCGATCAGCACTTTTCCTTGAACTGGACACCTGGACTTTTGGGTTCTAGTTGCCATTGCCCAGATAGGCCACTCACTTCCTTTTACCTGGGACTCAGTTTTCCCACCAGGCAAATGGGAATAGAACCTTCACTACACAGAATCAGCTGCATCATTGTCTCTTGCAATGGTGCAAGCCGTCCTGACAGTCACTAGGTCCATATAACTATGCTTTGTGCCCTGCTGGGAAGGCCCTCTTAGCCCATTTTTAGAGAGGAGGAAACTGAGCCTTGGAGGGGTTACAGGACTTTCCTGAGGTCACAGAACTAACAAGGCCTGGACTCAGGACTCAGGGTTTCTGATTCTAAGACTGTACTCCTCTCCTCACCTGGGCAACAGGACCCCGAACGTTCAGGGGCTCCTGAAGCCTGGGTCTCAGGGCCTCTCCAGCTAGGTCTGCCTATGAGGGGCAGCCCCACCCCTGGAGACCCTGGGTGAGCCCTGACCGAGGGCCTCTTCCCTGGGCAGGATGAAGGAGAACGAGGAGCGCTCGCGGGCCTTGGAGGAGGAGCGCGAGTTCTATTCCAGCCAGTCCCAGGCGCTGCAGAACTCGCTGCAGGAGCTGACGGCGCAGAAGCAGCAGGCCGAGCAGGAGCTCAAGGTGCCTTCCCTCACCTGGAGACTTCCCTCACAGCCCTGCACGTTACCTGGCAGCTACCTGAATGCTCTCTGCCGACCTGGGCAGCCAGGTGCAGGCCACCCTGAGGGGAAGCAGTGAGCTGCCACTTCTGTGGGGCATCGTTGCCTTGTGTCCGGCCGAGTCAGGCCATCTCGTCAAGGGTTTAAGACACAGGGCTGGAGGTGGTAGCTTCCATCCACGTGCAAAGGCGAGAAAGCCCACTTGAACTGGGGGTGATCAGGGAAGGCTTCCAGGGAAGGTGGCAACTGCTGCCCAGAACCCCGCATCTCTCTCCTTCCCTCTCCCTTCAGGCTGAGGTGAAGGTCCGTATGGACCTGGAGAGGCGTCTGCGGGAGGCTGAGGCGGCCCTGAGGAGCCTGGAACAAGGGCTCAACTCCAAGGTGCGGAACAAGGAGAAGGAGGAGAGGATGCGGGCTGACGTGAGCCATCTGAAAAGTAAGCCCTGCCCTCTGGTGCCCAGCCCCTCGGCCCTGGAGCTCAGCCGCAGCCACGTCCAGCCCCATGGAACCTGGAACAGAGCCTAGAGCCCTACAAAGGGCCTGCTGTGCATTAGATGTTCTATATATTGATGGAGTTTCTCCAGAATCTTGCCTGCAGGCATCTCTTTGGTGCAGCTTGCTTTTGGCTGTTGGACCTCCTGTAGGGGCGGGAGGGAAAAGCCTGTAGTTCTGTTCCCCCCAGCAGGTGGCGCTGGTTTCCCCAGAGATGGGGTCAATGAGTTTCTCCCGGGCACCAGGAACCTGGGAGGGGCGGGGCCGAACGGGCTGGGAGAGGAGGATGCTATGGAACTTCCACGCAGGATTCTTCGAGGAGTGCATCCGGAACGCGGAGCTGGAGGCCAAGATGCCGGTCATCATGAAGAACTCCGTGTACATCCACAAGGCAGCCACTCGCCGCATCAAGAGCTGCCGTTTCCACCGGCGCCGGTCCAGCACCACCTGGAATGACAGTGAGTGTGGGCGCCTGTGTGCCCTGGTGGGATGGGGACGGTCACAGGCCATCAGTGACAAGGCAGGAAGAGGGCAGAGTGCAGACGGCAGAGTGGGAATGGCCGGCCCAGTTCTGAGGCCAGACAGTGTGGCCTTGAACCTGTTCCGCCAGCCTTGGGTTCTTCCCGGGATTAGGGGAGCCCATGGAAGGGAAGAGGCTGGGTTTTCCCGGTACCACGTAGGGCAGTGAGTGAGGAAGGTGGGCTGGGGCTGGGGACAGGGCCAAGACTTGGTGGAGGAAGGGCTGCTTACAACCATCATCTCCCCAGTGAAGCCGTCCCAGTCCTTCATGACCTCCCAGCTGGAAGCCAACAACATAGAGGAGCTGAAGGAGGTGGCTAAGCGGCTGAGCCGAGACCAGCGCTTCCGGGAATCCATCTACCACATCATGGTGACTCAGCCTGGACCACCCTCGGCACTCCCCAAGGGTGGGAAGTGAAGGACTTTCCTCCCCGCCTCCTAGGTCTCTCCTGGGTGGGGCCTGGGAAGGGGCCGCAGCGGGGGCCCGACTCTGCCAGGCTTCTCTCAGCTCCCCTCTGGGCCAGGCCTGCTCCTGGGGGCAGCCTCACCCTCAAAGGACAGGGACACTACCTCCCTCACCACGCCCACCCCCACCCCAGGCTCTACCCTCGGTCCGTACCAGGCCCATGCAGGCCCAGCCAGGTGCTGCCTGGTTGTTACGATGAGGCCAGGAAGAGGCCTGGTTGCATGTGGAGACATTTTTTTTTGGTCAGGGAGTGTGGTGGGCAGGGCCCACAGCTCTCTGTCATGCCCGCTCTACCTCTCTGTGACTCTGCCACCCCGCCTGCCCTGGTGTGTGCAGGCCTCCCCTCCTCACCTTGATACTTGCCTCCCCTGAGGGGCTTCCTAATGCTCTCTGCTTCAGCAACCTATAGACATCCCGCAGTCGGGGGCCCTCACTCACTTTGGCCACATCTGGGCTCATGGCATACCACACCGCCACAGTATCGCCTTTCCTGAGGTTGGCCCTGGCTGTGGGATCACCTGCTCGCTCCCCTCCGCAGGCGAGCTCATCCACCTACAGCCTCAGCACCCTATGAGGGTGATGTAATGGCCCCCTTACCCCCCTCCCCCCCACTGCATCCCACCTGCATATGTGCCTAGGGCCCTGGCCCCTGATTGGGAGCTGGGCATCAGCGATGCTGAGAGCTCCTCCAGAGGACTCATCTAGTCAGGCAGGGGATGAAGGTGGCCCTGGCTCCTGCAGTAGGAGGGCTGCTCCCTCTGGCTACGGTGGCCCTGTTGGTCCATGGTGTCCCAGATGACTCTCTCCCAGCTGCCCCTGCTTTGGTGGCCTTGCTCCCTCCTCTCCCTGCAGAGGCTGTACCCGGTGAAGCAGTGTGACCGTGAACCCTGGAAGGTGGGGGCCTGGGCCTGCGAAATGGCCAGTAGCCATTGGTTGGCCCCATGTCAACAGGGGTGAAGCTGAAACACCTATCTGCAGCCTTTGTGGGAAACCACCACCCTCCACGAGGCTGAGGGTTGTGGCGTGTGTCCCTCACCCAGTCCTTCTCCTGCTAGGCCCACCCTCCAAAGCCTCCCGAGTCTGTGGGTCTCTCCAGAAAGGAAATCTGTCTGGGGTCAGGGTGCTCTGGGACACTGGTGGCATTAAAGGTGCTGTGTCTGCTGCTTGGAAAACTGAGGGAGGGGCTCAATCTGAGGGACGGACAGATGGCTGTAGGGTCAGTCCCTGCAGAGGCGCAGGTCCCTGGGGACTTGTGTGGGACTATTCTGTGGGGGGAAGAGTGTCTCCTGCTCTGTGCTCGGAGCTGCTTGGTGAAACTAATCTCGGCGGTCCCTCCTCCGTGGTGGGTGGACTTGGACGGCTGCAGCCAATCCCTTCCATGTCTAGGTGCAGACGGAGGTGGAGGTGCTTCAGAATCAATGCCTCTAAATTGGAATCTAAATTTAAAACCTTCAAACATGTAGAAACCCGCATAAACTTGGAAATGACTTATGCAGTGTGTATGTAGGATGGACTTTGAAATGTGGGAGAAGATTTATAAAGCCAAGATTGCAGCTGTATTTTTTGCATCTTTATTTTTAAAGCATTAGACTAATACTGGTTTGCTTTTGGAGAAAGATCTTTTGGGCATTTTCAAATGCATTTCTTTTTTCTGGGCTAGCTCTTAGCCAGAAAGGAAAGTGTTTTTCCCTGCACCTTCACCAATCCCTAGTGTCTTTCCTCCCGTTTCACCCTGTACTTACCATGCCTCAGGCCCATCTGGGTTATCTTCAACAAACTGGTCAATTCACAAGTATTTATTTGTTAAAAACTCACTCTGTACCTATTACTGTAAATAGAAAAAGAGCAATATCCCTATATGAGAATATGTAAAGGTGGAAATTGCTTACTGGAAATATATTGATCTGATTTTTTTTTAAAAAACAAAACTTTTATTCCTTGGCCAATTAAATGTTTCCTGCAATATTGCTTGTGGTTGGTCATTGCTGAGGAGATGTTGCCCCCTGCAGGCCAAATATGGAATTGCAGAATTGCTTGCTTGTACTCTAACATTCAGGAAAGTTTCTCTACCCTCAAGGAAGTACTTCCTACAGGTGCACCTCTTGGGACTGGCTTCTTAATAATTAACTGAAAAATCTGTGTTCCCGCCCTGCGGTCCTGGATGTTCTCATTTAACAAGGGCTGGCAGCTGGGTTTTCTTCTGATTGGAGCGTGAACCAAAGGGACAGAGCACACCTTGCCAGAGAGAACAGCCTCAGGGAGGCAAAGTTTCAAACCTCATTCTATGGCCTCCTAGTTTCGGTATCCCCACCACAACCTGACAGTTTTACCTGCCTTGATGAGGAGAGGTGTATGCTTTGGCTTCATAATCATATAAGGGAGAGCAACACATAATAATAACTGGCTTCTCCTATTTGGTTTCTTTTCTGATCAGACAGGTGATCTATCCTCATCCAGGACTGTCCTGGTTTGTGCAGTTCATTTGCTGTCATAAGTGTCCCAGTTTGGGATGATAGTTCCGTGGTCACCCGCTTTTCCGATGATACGTTCATGGATGAAGCCTGAGATCTGTAAAACCCTGGGTTCTGCCCTGGGAGGATCCACTGCCTGTGCTTGTTCTGGAGGATGTAATTCTCGCCCACTGCCCATCCTACCCCAGCCAGCTCCACATGACCTGGGCAGCTTGTGGGTGCTCAGGCACTGTCCCCGTGAAGTGGGGAGCCCCTGATAAAAGGTGATGGTGGAACGGGGACTCACTCTTGTCTCGGTGTGTCAGATTTGGTTTAACTAACAAGGTGGTTACTTAAACCCACCCGATGAGAGAGCTGTTCTGGAGCTCTCAGAGGAAGGCCAGCTGCCCCCGGGGAAACTTATGCTTCTGTCACGAGCCAGGATGAAGCTGCTCAGACTCCTGTGCCCCTGTGGGGTCACTCTAAGGGCTCCCCAAAGTGAAAAACCCTGCAGCTTTGATGGGAGGGGGTGGATACGGGGAGCTGCTGACTTCCCTTACCTCACCCCACCCCTGGTGATTGAGGGTGAAGGAATACCTTTTGCAAGGCTTTGGGAGAGGATACCGTTTCGTTTTTGACACTTGGAAACAGGTCCACCCCCAGACGTCCAAAGCAGCTGGGAGAAACTGGTTATACAAACTTCCAAGCAGGTGTGGATGGGTGCGGTGTAACATTCCAGATTCAAATCCTGGCTCTTTGCACATCCCCTCCCCTCCCCTCCCCTCCCTCCCTCCCCCTCCCTCCCCCTCCCCTCCCCTCCCTTCCCTTCCTTCCTCCCCTTCCCTAGACTTGGGCTTCCACTCATGGAAACCAACTCCTATGACCCAGAAAGGAGCTCCCCTCTCCATCCTGCTGGGTTAGAGGTTTTTAGAGGATTCCAAGCCCAGGAATCCTAGGGGTTGTGGGTCAGTGAACTAAATCCCCCTGTGGTGAATTCTGCCTGCAGTTGTTTTAGTATGGTCTGGCATTCTGTGTCCCTCTGCCTTTACCTCTGGGTGGGACAAGACAATCAGGTGAGGAAGTTGGGGGGGGGGAGACAGGGTTTTCCACAGGCCGGACCTCAGAGCTGCCTCCGCCTCCAGGAGATATCGAGGCAGCTGCAGAGCCAGCTGGCGCTGTCTTTGGGCTCATGAGCTCTTGGCACTCTGCCTTGCTTCCCCTGGAGGATCTGACACCTGCCTCAGGGCTGAGAGTCCTGCTGTGAACTGACTCAGCTGCCCTGTTATCCCATCGCTGATGGGCCTTGAGGGTCACCGGCCACAAGGGCAAACTTTCTCCTTGCAGAGCAGTGACCTTGTCCGCTAGAAGCTGAGGGGAGTACTTTGCCCCACACTATGCCTGCCGCTGCGGGGGAAAGTGGGAGCGGAGGGATGGGGGTGGGGGGCTCTGATGGTGAAAGGCTTTGCCACTGACTGGCTCTGCAGCTTCTGCAAAGTCATCATTTAAAATGTCCTACATATTTATATATTTTTATTAAGTAGAAGATAAATCTCTGAAATCTCACCAGGCCACTCAGAGCCCTTATGGTTCTGAAGGTCTGTGACCTGGAAACTTGCAGCCCTGGAATCAATAGAAGCGGGCTGCCACAGCCAGCGCTGCGCAGAAGCAAGGCTCCCTGGGAGAACGGTCAGGCTCAGGCTGGGTGCGATGCTGTGCTGAGGTCAGATGAAATGAAAAGAAAAACGTTTAGTTTTGAGAGTAGGAAAGTGAACTGGTTTATTGCCACAAGGCAACTGGGACTCGGCACAGCTTCCAGGTCGTTCCCCAGGATGGAGGGCTTTCTTGGGAGGGGAAAGGGGTCCCTTCGCGTGCTCACCCTGGTGTCGGAGCCGTCTGCCAGCGTCACGCCTTCCGTCCTCTTTCAACAAGTGTTTATCATGTTGCATCACAAAATCACGCCCTGCCGCGTGCTTATCCTTATCACTTACTGATGTTTTTCATTACAGTAAAACATGCATGATATAAAAGTTAGCATTTCAACCATTGAAGTGCACAGTTTAGTAATGTAAGGCGTAGTCACATCATTGCGCAACTCATTTCCCGAACTCTTCATCTCACAACACTGAAATTCTATACCCATTAAACTACTTCCTGTTCCCCCTCCCCACAACCCCTGGCCACCTCCATTCTCCTCTGTGTCTCTGAATTTGACTGCTTCGCATACCTCATAAAAGTGAGATTGTCAGGATTTGTCTTTTTGTGTCTGGCTTATTTCACTTAACACAGGGTCCTTGAGGTTGACCCATGTTGTAGCATGTGTTGGAATTTCCTTCCCTTTTTAAGGCTAAAAAATATCCTATCACTTTTCAAAAGAAAAACTTATTGAAATTTTATTTTCCTGACAAACTATTGGCTAATGGTGAGGGGGCTACCTCAGCATACAAATCATAGCCAAGGAGGAGCCAGGGCCCATGGTTGCCCTCTTCCAGGTTGTTCCCCAGGATGGCCAAGCACTAAGGGATGCTTTGGTGGTCCTTCTCCCTTCCTCCCAGCAGAGGGCAGCATGCTCTGAGCTGGGCCAGCAAATTCCGGTGGAAAAGGGAGCTCAAGCTGCTGGAGAAAGGGGATGGCTTTGTGACACTGCACTATGGTGTTGAGTCTCCCAGTTGTTCTCTCCTTTAAGATATGAAACAAAAGTCTCCACCTCAAACATCATTTATTTAGTCTTGTATACCAACGCTTTCACTTTATCTTTTTTGTTCTCACAATAGCCCTGTCCTTGATGTATAGACAAATGAAACCCATAGAGGTTAAGGGATTTGCTCACTCACACAGCTTCTACATGGAGGTTCAGGTATTTGAATTCAAGGCCAATGTTCTTTCTAGCATATGCACATAATTATATGTTCATATGTAAATTACTGTATGAATCTTTTAAATAATTTCGCTCCCTCGCTTCCACAAATCCGTTGAGCTCCTCTGTGTTACAGGCACCAACAGTCTCCACCGAGATCTCTTCTAGTATGGGTTCTTAAGGGGTAGACTCAGCTGCTGGTGACGGACAGTTTCCAGAGCGCTCTCCCCCTGGAGGTCTGGCCAGTCCACTGCAGTGTGTCTTCCTCACAGACGGAGAGTCGCGGCAGAGGTGGGCGTCACAGTGGTCACGAGGAAACTCGGGCACGTCGTTCTGCAGCTGTCGGCCGCTCTCTTCCCCAGGTGTTTCGCTTCTGGTTCCCATCTTGTTAGGCACACGAGTGATTTATGGTGAAAATCTGCGACTAACCAAGTCTAAAAGAGCTCCTTCGATGACTGCAAAATAAAAATGCCGAGTGAAAGCATGGTGTCATAGTTTAATTGGCAGCGTTTTTAATTTCCTTGTGTTGCATAAAATAACGGTGTGCCTTATACTCGGGGGTGCCATAAATTGGATTATGTAGTAGGTGCCAGCACTGTTCCAATGCTGTGGGTGTGAGAGTGAACAAGAGTCAGAGCCCTGGCTGTCTGTGCAGGTTGGCTATGGAGAGAATCCTGTACATGCCATTCAGGGGCCTACGTGACAGCCACTTTTCTGTCACAGCCTAGGATTCCAAGGTTGCCCTGGGGTCATGGTCTTGAGCCACCCACAAGGATTTCTTTCTCCTCTTTGTGCCTGGAAGTGGCCCTGAGCACCTCTGCTCTCATTTAATTGGCTGAAACTCAGTCACGTGGCCACATTCCACTCCAGAGGATTCTGGGAAATGTAGTCTGGCTGCATGCTCAGGAAAAAAGGTAGGTATTGATGCTGATGAGCTGCATCAGTGTGTGCCGCATAGTGCGAGCAACACCGTGGAGGTGGCAGGGAGTCCCAGCAGCCCAGAGTCTCCCCAAAGAAAAGAAATCAAAAACACCAACCTGCCCTCATGTCGCTGTTTCTGGGGATGCTGTCCTGAATATCAGGCACATCACTGAGTAGGAAGATGGATATGACAGAATATTAACCCCATAGGTAACCAGATTTTAACAGTTAATGGAATCTGTGGTGTTTATCCTAAACCATGACTCTCTACCTGAGACATTTGGGGCAGAAGAGATTTTTCAGGAGTGTTTGTACGGTGCATCATTCAGCACAGGCGATTCCACCACACTGCCTTCTCAGGGGGCTGGTGGGACAGCGTGCTTGCTCAGGGGTGTGTGTGCTGGATGGGAAATGCAGGACCCCAGCCTCTGGGTCGCAGAGCAGAGCCACGAAGGGCAGAGGCAGTCAGAAGACCCGGGGAGGAGCTCGGTTTTTGCCAGTTACAAGCTGTGTGACTCGGGTAAATCACACTGGATTCCTCAGTTGTGCACGCGCACTCCTCAGAAGTAAGCGCAGCCATAATGCCTGCCCGTCCTGCCCCACAGTTGTCCAGAGGGTCCAGAGAGACGGCTGTGGATTGTAAAGCTTTAGACAAACGCTGTGTCGTGCCCACGTGAGAGCGCAGCATCTGCACTCCAAGGGACCCCACGGACCCTCTGACCTGTCATTT